CATATTTAATAAAAAATTGAATCAAATTACCGAATATTGTAAAATCAAGATATACCATTTTATAATATTCGGTAATTACCGAAAATTTCCAATCACCCATTTCCAAAATTCCCTTGAAACTGAATTGCAGCAAAAATTTCAAAAGCTTTTCCATTTAAACACAGGCCGAGATTTTTTTTTTTCCTGTATCCCTCTCATTTATTCTCCAATTTCCTTTCCAATCGGTTTCCCGTGTTTCGAAAAGTTTTTTCACTGGGACAATTTTTTTTTCTCCTCGTTTTGCTTGCAATGCTTGAAAAGCTAGCACGAAGTGGACAATTGCAAAGTGAACCGTTTTATTAGAAAACGCTCGAGCATTCCAGCCGTTTAACCGTCCGTCACGACGATTGTCCGTCTTCTTTATTGCACCCTGGTTTTTCTACGAGCAACGGACACGATATCTCAGCTATACCGGCCAGACGAATGGGAAACGTCGGTCACGATCGGTATTGCGAACAGTCAATATCGCCGGTGTGTAATTGACTTCTTCGTTGATGAGAGAAAAATCTCAAGGCTCTCGTGAGCAACTGTTAAACCTGGCGGACTTAGCATACCTTCGATATCTGTACTGGAAAATCCTGATACTTAACCAGTTACTTTACGAGATAACTTATCGTGACTATGGATATCTCAATTTTATCCTCCAGCATACTTAGAGTTCGCTATATCCATGAAAACTTCAATTTTCATTCCTATTTGTTAAATTTATTTTACGTGTATCGGTGATTCTTGGAGGATAAAAAATCGTAATATTTTTTTATGAAGAATAATAGAGAACTATTGATGGTCTTGTTAGATTACGTTCAGAAGAATTGAATAAACATAAATTTGTATTTTAAGCAACATTTGGAAAATTGAGAAATTAAAAGAAAAAGAGAAGCTTCTCTGTAAAGGTCATCAAATATTCCACTACTCTTCCCGAAATAATTCATTCAAATTGCCGAAATTAATTTTCACGAGATCTCAGAAAACCTTAATCAACATAAATTTGAAAAAAAATTATTTTAATTAAGTTACAAAAACAAAAAATTCTTCATAAAGATCGTCAAATATTCCACTACTCTTCCCGAAATAATTCATTCAAATCTTTCAAAGAACTATAGAAAGATAAGGTTTACAGGGATCTGCCGGAAATGATAACCTGGTGGCAATTTTCCGTGTCGGAAGCGTTGAAAACTACGTCGATACATTATTTATCCGGTAGCGGTGTCGACACGCGCTGATTATCTCGCGACGCCGCTACATTTTCTCTTTAATGGCACGTACAGTTTTCCATGATTTACGACATGAGCGTCCGTGGAAGGAAGCCATTTTGCCAGCATGGGAATCGCAATTGGACCATGTTGCACGGCAACGGTTGCCCGTGCAACAACTGCAAAGGAAATCGGACGCTCCGCCATATAATACTCGTGAAACTGACGCGGACGGGTGACTGATTGCGTTTTTAGCTGTGCTCCGCTCGTTTCCTCGCCTCTTCACATCGAAGAAAGTGTAATTGTTCGAAGAATAGTGAAAGTGAACAATTGCAATTTTTTTCTTTTTTTAATAGAGATTGCAACGCGAGTTGATTGTGACTTTAGAATGGAAATTGTACGGTTTATTAGAGATGATATTCATTTTTCTCTTTCAGTTCGAACAAGTGAGGTTCTGGGTGTGTTTCTCAGAAGAATTTTTTATTACTCAAATCGCTGTTGATCCGTGGAAAAAACGAATTTTAAATTCATAACAAATAGGTAGCAGATTCGATATTAGTGTAAATTAGCACGTGGTCCGAAATTTTCGAAATTATCTTCGAAATACTGTCACTTTGTTATTTTTCAGTTTAAAAAATTCTACGTTGGACGATGGATAATTTAGTTTCATTTATTAGCTCGTTAAATAAATTTGGTTTCACAAACCTGTCCATCATAAACAAAAAATGTGTTGCGGTACGTTAGAAAAAAAATTAAAATAAGTCTTGTGTACTGTTCATGCGTGTATTTGTCATTAGCAAAAAAATGTTTTCGAATTATTAGGTTGGTGCATATGAAACGTTGAAAATTAAGGACATAAAATAT